TCGTCAATGGGAATTAATTACCTCAGACAAATGGGTACTACAAACTGTCTCCCTCCCACCTCCTCCCCCAACCTCCTATCCCATCTCTTTTCGGGGACCCATCTCATGAGATCGTTTTGCAACAAGAGATAGATCACCTCTTACAAATAGGAGCCATAGAACCGGTTCCACCACAATTCCGCAGAACAGGTTTTTATTCCCATTATTTTCTCATAGAGAAGAGGGCTGGCAGGTGGAGACCCATCCTAGACCTCAGATCCCTAAACAGATACATAAGGAAACAGAGATTTAAAATGGTTACCCTGAACACAATTATTCCAGCTCTGGAGACGGGCGACTAGTTTTCCTTTCCGACTTACAAGATGCATATTTTCATATTTCTATCAGACCATCTCATAGGCGTTTTCTCCATTTCACTTTAGGTCCAAACCATTTTCGGTAGACGGTCCTACCATTCAGTCTCTCTGCAGCTCCAAGAGTATTTTCCAAGATCCTAGCGGCAGTCACTGCCCACCTCAGGAGACAAGGAGTTACCATATATCCCTACCTGGACGACTGCCTAGTCAAAGCAAGGTCCAGACATGAGTACCACCAACACATTCATATGGTGCTAGACTGCTTTCACTCTCTAGGACTCCTAATGAACCACCCCAAGTCAATGCTTACACCCTCGCAGTCCATCCAATTTATTGGGGCACACCTCAACTCTGTCACAACCAGAGCCTCCCTCCCACCCGACAGATCCACTCACATCAGGCATCTGGCACTATTCCTCCAGAACATGCCTACAGACACCTCACTCGACTGCTTCCTACTTCTGGGCCATATGGCTTCCTGCAACCCGGTAGTGCCCAACTCGAGATTATTTATGTGATGTTTTCAAGGCTGGCTCTTAACTCAGTACAAGCCAAGCATCCATTCATTGACAAAGAGACTAACAATGCCTCCACCAGTCAAGGCATCATTAAAATGGTGGACAAAGGAGTCCAACCTAACTGTGGGCACACCCTTCCAATCCACAGAGCCCACAGTGGTCATCGCCACAGATGCCTCACTCACAGGGTGGGGCACTCACATGGAAGGAAAAACAGCTCAAGGCCTATGGTCTTCTGCGGAACGTGCTCTGCATATAAATATTTTAGAACTCAGAGCTGTCTTCCTAGCATGTCAAAAACTGCTCCCTCAAGTAAAAAGGATACATGTCCTTGTCTTCATGGACAACACGGCATGCATGTTCTATGTAAACCAGCAAGGCGGAGCATGATCACAGCACCTGTGCAAAGAAGCTACAGCCCTTTGGAACTGGGCCATAGCATGGGATATCTGTTTATCTGCATGCTATCTACCCGGGGCTCTCTATACAACAGCAGATGCCCTAAGCAGAGCTCTTTCCCAGGAACACAAATGGGAGATGGACCATACAACCCTGATGGGAATATTCAACCCATGGGGCCACCCCTGCATAGATCTGTTTGCCACCAGATCCAACAAAAAATACACAATGTATTGTTCCAGAGCGGGCATAGGCAAACTATCCTTAGGAGACACTCTGATTCTAACATGAAATGCACCCCTGCTATATGCATTCCCCCCCTTTCCCCTCCCCAATAGAGTCATCATAAAGATACAGAGGGACAAAGCAAATATCATCCTCATAGCCCCATGTTGGCCGTGCCAACCTTGGTTTCCCCTACTACTCAGGATGACACACAGCCATTCAATCTTGCTACCGCAAGGACCTCACATCCTCTATCACCCACAAATCAGGACACCTCACCCTGAACTCCTGATGCTCCATCTAAAAGCATGGCACCTCAGTGGTTCACTAGCATAGTGTTCCCACCAAGTCCATGAGGTTCTCCTGCACAGCAGAGCTCCTGCAACAAGGAAAACATACATCAGTAAATGGATGTGTTTTACACACTGGGCCAGTGAGCGCAATATATCACCGCAAACAGCCCCACTCCAGGTAATCCTGGAATACTTACTGCACCTAAAACAATCTCAACTCTCCTTAGCCTCAATTAGAGTGCACCTAGCAGCTATAACCACATTCCATGCACCACTGGATGACACCACTTTATTTGCACACCCCACAACTAAACACTTTTTGAAGGGTCTTCTACAAGCTCTATACCCTGACGTGTCTCCCCCACAAGAACCATGGGACCTCCACCTAGTATCAACAACATTAACAATACAACTCTTTGAACTTATGGCCACATGCTCCTTGCTCCACTTAACGCTCAAAACGTTCCTAGAGGCTATTACTTCAGCGTGCAGAGTAAGTGAACTGGCCATGCTTATGTCTGGTCCACCCTTTACCATTTTTCTTAAAGACAGAGTATATATGCGGCTGCACCCCAAATTTTTACCTAAGGTCCACACAGCCTTTCACATCAACCAGACAATACACCTACCTGTGTTTTTCCCAAAGCCCCATGCCAATGCCTTTGAAGCACAGATGTGCACACTCAATGTCAAGAGAGTTCTCTCCTTCTATATTGACAGAACAAAGTCATTCAGATCCTCCCCACATGTGTTTGTTTCCATTGCAAACCATAACATGGGGAAGAAAATATCACAAAGACTATCCCATTGGATCTTGAAATGCATCAATATATGCTACTCACTTAATGACTTACCTCCACCTGCTCCAATCCGAGCGCACTCTACGGGTATGTCTAGACTACATGGCTCTGTTGACGTCAACCTCATTTCACGAGGCATACCAGAGTGATCGACAAAGGCTTCCCTTGTCGACCACGGCGCGTCCAGACTGCCCTGCTGTGCTGCCAAACAGCTGATCCGCACAGCGCGGCGGCCATTTTGATGTAAATGAAGCAGCGATTATTTAAATCACCGCTTCATTTTCCTATGTCTAGTAAACTCATCTACATGGCTCCGTCGACAGAGCCATGTAGTCTAGACATACCCTACAAGAGCAGTGGCAACCTCGGTCGCATACCTCAGGAAAGTTCCACTGGAGGACATTTGCACGGTGGCAACATAGTCCTCGGATCACACCTTCACAAAACATTACTCCGTTGCTCCTGGTCCTTTACGACACACTGAAGTAGCAAAAGCTGTCTTCCAAACAGCATACTTACCGGAACCGAAGTCCCTACTTCCATAAGATAGACTGCTTGTAGTCACCTGATGTGGAGCACCCCCCAGGGACGCCTCTTGAAGAAGAAAAAGAGGTTACTTAACTCCTGTAACTGAGATTCTTCGAGATGAGCATCCCTGAGGGTGCTCTACTACCCTCCCTTCCTCCCCTCTACTTCGGAAACTTTAACAAAAAAAAGCAATCATGTAAATTACGCTCCTCCACCAGTTCCGGATAGAGAAGGGACTGGAAGGGGGAGGCTGTGTGCACATAGCTACTGAGGGAGCCCACACGCTCCATGTGCCGTGCATGCATGGTCCCCTCAGACACTATTTCAAGAAACTCCGTCCAGAGGCTCCCCAGGGATGCTCATCTCAAAGATCGTCAGTTACAGGAGGTGAGTAACCTCCTTTTCTGTACAACATAATAACAAATTAAAATAACAATGATAATTAAACCCATCCTTTTAAAATAAAGGGAAACCAAAACCATGTCAGTGTTCTTCATTCCTAACCTGCATCACTCCTAGTCACTTCTTTTGTACTGTTACTTTTTTAAATTAGAATTGGAAAACAAATCATAATAAATATCAGCATAAGACTGTACAAATAACCACCACTTAATCCTCCCCACTTTGTCTTCTATAATCTAGTTATGAGCCCCAAAAGAGAAAATGGAGGTAGCTGAATGCAACCAGTGTGATTGTATAATAGTTATATATTATGCTAAGCCATTGATTTTTTGTACAGCAGGAACTACTATAGCAGCCATGCTGAATTGTGTGTGTTGTGACATGGATTGCTGGCCACTAGGAACTCTGATGAAACTACCAAATGGCTTTTCATTTGGGGCCTGAACTCAATCTTTAGACTGAGATGCCACTAACCTTGCCATGAGCTCTCATTACTTCATGTTGCAAGTTTAATATTACACACCTCTATAAAGCCTATAATTTTCACAGATGCTGGAACTGGCTTTTCGGAGTTTGTATTGGTTATGGACTGCTTAAAAGGAAAACAGTATTCAGTCTTCAGGAACCCAGTGTTGCAAAGATGACAATTCATATGTTTTTTTCAACACTGGGGAAAAATAGCCTTTTTATTGACCATGCAAGGAATAAAGACCTGTGAGCAGGTTTAGGTGGGAATATATATGTGGAGAATTTGCTTTCATTCTGATGCGTTCATCTCATTTCAAGGAGCAAAAAGTTAAAAGATCCACATTTCAAGTTACATAGAATATGCAAACAAAGAAGAAGCAGTACTTTTGGAGGGTGGGTGGTTTTCTTTTATGTTTACAAAATCAGTGATTAATGCTTTTGCTTCAGTAAAAATAATAGCAACATTTCAAGATTCATCAGCATCCCTGTGGGTATGTCTACACAGCAGGGCTAAAGTCGAATTAAGGTACGCAACTTGAGCTACATCAATCGTATAGCTTAAGTCAAAATAGCTTAACTCAGCTTTTGGCGCTATCTGTGCAGCAGGAAGTCGAAGGAAGAACACTCTTCTTTTGACTTCCGTTACTCCTCAGAAAATGAAGGTTACAGGAGTCAGAGTAAGATGTCCTCCAGCTTGACGTTATTTCGAAATAATGGCTTGTAATGTTGACATGCTCCTTGTTATTTTGTAATAACATCAGTTATTCTGAAATAACGCTGCTGTGTAGTCATAGCCTATGACAACAAAGCACTGTGCCTGAATAGTGTAGGAACACAGATCTTTTAAGGAGATTGATTTCAAGGTGAGAGTTGAACAGATTGGAGAAGAAATTTAATTTAAAACATCCTCAGAAAAATACTTTGGATGATAGCTTTTTGTAAAACGCTATTTCCTGTGGAAGATGAAAGATTACTGCATTCTATTACTAATGTATCCTTATTTTATTTCAGTCACCATGCAGCAAGTAGCCAGGACAGTGGCAAAGGTGGAGCTCTCAGACCATGTATGTGATGTGGTGTTTGCACTTTTTGATTGTGATGGTGAGTGGTTTTAATTTACTATAAATTAGTCTGACCTTTTCATATTCCCAGCATGTGTGTTTTGTAGTTTATTTGTATTTAAAAAAAAACTTAAAAGAATTAGGTTATAAAAACTAAATATTATATTTGTACATTTCAATAATATTTTCAAGGGATGAGTTGGATTGTATCTGACAAACCTTTTATCAGCACCAGAGCACTCTCCTATTGTTCCCCACTTTACAAATTATAATGTAGAGAAATATTAAAACACAATAAAAAGAGGCAGTCAAAATGAATGAGATTGAGATTTTTTTCTCCCCCAGTCCAATTGGCTTTTTATCTGTTGTTTTCATTTCTGCTCTCCAGTTTATCAATATCATGAAAATACTGATAGACTTCAGGCTTCCATGGCATTGTTACCCATTTCATGGTGGTATTTGCTGTTCCCTTCACACTGTATTATAGTTTGCTGTTTGTGTTGTGGTCTGTTTTAAAAGCTCATATCTTTCCAGAGGGTTTCGTTAATGGCATTCAGTGTTCTCTGAGAGTTTTCATATGTCTAACTTAAGAGTTTGAATAGCTCACTGCAGAGAGAAAGGAGACTATCCTCTGCTCCCAGAAACACCATTTGTTTAACAAAAGTAGCAATTATGGCCTATTGTTGGCAATAAGAATATTTAGCACTAACAGTATTTTACATTTACACTAGCTAATTAATGATAGCAATGTGCATTGCCAAGCAAGAAGCTTGGAATTTATTCCCAGTAGTTTGCTTTTTCTGGCCTGCCCTTGTCACTCAGAAGCAATTTCAGGTTGATTAATGAGGAAAATCATGAAGCTCAGAAGGGAGTCTCCAGCCAAACAGGATGATGAATACAGTGCAGGTCTCAAAAGTGGGAACTGAAAAATTGAAGTGGAAGAGATCAGAACTCCTCCAGCAGGGACACTGAATTAGTAAGTAGTGGTTAACTCAGTGGACAACTCAGTAAATAGATACACTGGGCCCTTACGAGCAGAACCAAAGTTCGATTAAAGAAACTAAGAACCATACTCTGTCATGCTGAATTAGGTTTGCGATCTCATAAGTAAGGATGATATTCCTGCAGTGCTGGTTTTCAATATCCCACTAACTAGTTTAATTTTTCTCTTGTGGACAGAAACTTAGGGTTGTATGTTCTTCTCTGTGAAGAGTAACAGAAACATTCAAAACTGCAGTATATATGCCAGCCCTTCAAATACTCAAGTAAAACATGACATTTTGGTAATAATTGGATTTTGCAAACCACAGAGCATCCTCTGGGCAATGGCATTTTGTGGAATAAGTAATGAGTGTTAGTCATTCTTGCACTGTGAAAGTGAATATACTTAACTACAGATTCACTGTGATCATGTCTGCATAATGTGCGGCAAGCCAGAACTTAGTGCCATTTGTAATGAGACCAGTAAGACTGACTACTTCATGACAATGTAACTCTGAATATGGAAGTTCATTTGCAGCCCGTCAGTGAATATATTGGGTACTTTGTTTAACCAGCTTATGATCCTGAGATGTTGCACTTTTCTATGACATTATGGCTGGAAATCAAGCCAGAAGTTGGGAATGGATGATGGGATGGATGGATCACTTAGGGTGTGTCTAGACTACCTAGTTTTGTCGACAAAAGTGGACTTTTGTCGACAAAACTATACCAGCGTCTACACTACCGCTGAGTTCTGTCGACATAACGTCGACAGAACTCAGCAGTTTTGTCGACGCTGGTATACCTCATTTTACAAGGCATAACACCTTCTGTCGACAGAACTCTGTCGACAGAAGGTGTTATTGCCTGTAACACTGCGTCCAGACTACGGAGTTCTGTCGACAAAGCAGCTTGCTTTGTCGACAGAACTCAATGTGTCTGGACGCTCTTTGTCGACGGAAGTTTTGTCGACAGTATCTGTCGACAAAACTTCCGTCGACAAAACGCGGTAGTCTAGACGTACCCTTAGTGATTACCTCTTCTATTTATTCCCTGTGAAGCATCTGCCGCTGGCCACTGTTGGAAGACACTGGGCTAGATGACCATTTGTCTGACTTAGTATGGCTGTTCTTATCAAATACTACTGCTCAACTGGAGAAGCTGATGAGCCAACTCACAATCATTCCAGCTTCTTGACAACACTGTCACAAAATATACCTTCCTTATGTAATTAGCACTTACATGGCATTTTACATTTTCAGAGTACAGTTATCATAGTATTTCTTTGAGGTACATAATAGTAAATAAGAGTTATCGTTATTATACATCTGGGGAAACTGAGTTTAGTAAATCCATAGGGCAAATCATTGGCAGAGCCAAGAATATAACCCAGGAAAATTCACTGTATCTCTAGTTATTCATTGGTAAATCAGGTGCTTTTGTTTCAAATATTTGTATAATAATGATTCATTACTTTTTGTTTGTTTTCTTTTAATATAGAGTACGTTTATTGTGTTCTCAAAAGGGTAAATGTGCTCACTATCTAAAGATATCCAGGGGACTGTGATATCACCCTTTTTGATATGTTGTCTATTCTCTGATACGGCATATGTGCGAATATATATTTTTTTGTTCACTGTTGCTTAAACTATAAATGCACAAAATATTCCTCTTTGCAAGTGTGTCCCTCTATATCCTCTCTTGCTTCCAGCTTCACATTCTTCCTTGTAACTTTGGTGAAAGAAGGTTGAATCACATTTTTCCTAAGTAGTTCAATAGCAATTCGTAAGTGGATCTGCAAGGCAGATATTTTGATCTGTAATTAGAGTGAATTGAAATGCATCCAAATGGTTTCCATTTGCATACTCTCAGAGGAGATTCTGTTGAATGTTTTGATACCAAATCTTTAGAAGAAATGACTGTTGCTGTTAGAGACATCTCTTCAAAGATAGGAATATAGCATAAAAGCAGACACAGATCTCTTCTGTTTCATTTAGCCTATGTATACAGACTTTTCTAAATATGTAGAGCCATAGGGAAAATTTTGCTCTTCTCTTGATACTTTGCTGGAATTTCATGACCCTGATTTGCCTTTGGGCACAAACAAAACAGAAAACCCACCTAAAATACAAATTATTAATTCATTAAATATATAAATATGCTCCTATTGTCTGCCAGCAAGATGTTACCTGTTTTGTTCTAAAATACATCGGAGGAATTGATCAGCTCATACCTTAAAAATGAAGTCACCAGTTTATTTCCTTAACATAGTAGCTAGTCCTGATGGGGTGGGGGCAGGGAGGAAGTGCTAAGAAAATGAGACTTTTGTGGTCTTAAATGAGATTACACAGTTTCATACTAGACATAGTTATGTGGTTGTCTTTCTATCAGATAATATAGAAGATAAAGATGGTAATATTTGATTAAAAGGTGAACTTCAGGTAGACAAAAGGATTGTTATAAATCAACACAAAGAGCAGAAAATAAAGTTAGCAATGAGACCCTGTTTTAGGCATAATTATGGAAGTTTTCTAGTTCCTTGTATTTATGTACACAAAGTGCAGAAAGCACATGGGAGTACTTTGTTCAGAGAGTTGTATTTCCAAAAGTCATTTTCAAGCCTCTTGAAACCAGTCTGAATCAATAATATCCTGTACCATGGATTTTATTGGGCTTCTCTGCCAGCGCATCATTAAAGCCACAGGAAATTGGACTAAGTACCTGTAGCCAGATTATTTAAAACAAAAACTGTTTGTTAGAGCTTTTTAAATCAGGATGGCCTCAAAGCTTTGCTTCCTTGGAGTATTTCTTGATTTACATGCAGAGTGGGCAAGGGACAGACTCTATAGCAAAAATACAATTAGGAAGAGACAGGCTGTCTCTTGAGCAAGAGTCTGAATGACAGACATGAAGTGGGAAGAAGCACTGGGCATAGAACTGTCAAGAATCCTTTCTTCTTTCCTTGTCAAGAGAAAGGAAACTTGGGGAAACAAACGTATGCCTACAAAATTGATAGTAAACTAGACAAGCTTTTTAGAGACCGAAATATATTCCAATTCATTGGAAGACAAAGGCAATGCATCATGTTGTGTGTCTGAATCTGAGAATATTCCTTTCTGAGTCTCTCCGTATTTTCAGTACAAATTGCAGGGATTGTAAATTACCCATAAAAATTGGCTATTGACTAAAACTTGCCAAAATGAGTTCACCTCTAGGAAGTTTTTAAAATTATCTTTCTCAAAGATTGTGACGCTTTTTAAATTACTGCAGTGCAAAAAAGTCCTCTCGAGTTTCCATGTTCACAATACCCACATCTCCACTTCTAACTTTATAAAGTTTCAGTTTTGTTGTAATTATCCTTTTTTTATCTTCCATATTTCTTTTGATAAGTCTCCCATCTTGGCAGATCTCTCCTTGTTCATTTTTCCATCTAAGATCCCAAGTACCAGTTCTGTGTGTGGTTCAGTACCAAGGTTCAGAGACTGGAGTTTCAGCTTGTACCTAAGGTTTCATTGTGTTAGTCTGCTGAAGTCAAACCCTCATCATAGCAGTTTAGAGAAAGCTGTTTGTAACTCTTCATAGTCAGCTTTGGACTTAAATATCTTGAGTAATTTTGTACTGTCTGCAAACATTGCCACCTCATTGTTTACCCCTTTTTCTAATCTTTTAAGAATATGTTGAACAGCACTGGCCTCAGTACAGATCCTGCTATTTACCTCTCTCTCAATGTGAAAACTCACAGTTTCCTGTCACTTAACCACAAGAGGACCTTCCCTTTAATCCAGGGGTCTCCAACCTTTTTAACCACAAGATCACTTTTTCAGTTTAAGTGCAATGTAAGATCTACCTCAAACCCAAATACCCTTGCCCTGCTTCCTTCCCCCTTCTCTGAGGCCCTGCCCATTCCACCCCTTCTCTGGGGCCTCGCCCTGCTCGCTCCATCCTCCTTCCTCTCCAAATCTCATTCACTTTCACTTTCACCAGGCTGGGGTAGCAGGTTGGATGCAGGCTCTGGCCTTGGGCTAAAGGGTTCAGAGTGTGGGAGGGGACACCCTGCAGATAGGGCAGAGGGTGGACTAGAGGATAGGGCATTTGCTTGCGAAGCACAGAGTGGTGGGGTCAAGTCCTGCCCCTGCCCATCCTAGGAGCGGCGGTATAACCAACACAGGCTGTCCCAGGGATGGCCCTGGCTCCTGCATTAGGAATGCAAGATAAAGGACCTGCTGAAAGTAGGGCAGTGGAGTGGGATCTCCAGTGAACTAGGGATAGGAATCAGACTCTGGAGCACAGAATGGTGGGTTCAATCCCACCCAAGCAGCAGCCAGGTAACCAACACAGGCTGCCCTAGAGATGGAGCCTGCCCATCCTAGGAGCGGCGGTATAACCAACACAGGCTGTCCCAGGGATGGCCCTGGCTCCTGCATTAGGAATGCAAGATAAAGGACCTGCTGAAAGTAGGGCAGTGGAGTGGGATCTCCAGTGAACTAGGGATAGGAATCAGACTCTGGAGCACAGAATGGTGGGTTCAATCCCACCCAAGCAGCAGCCAGGTAACCAACACAGGCTGCCCTAGAGATGGAGCTGGCTCCTGCATTAGGAAAGCAGGATAAGGGACCCTCAGGAGGTGGGGTGGGTTCTGGAGTGGACCAGCACAGTGTTTCTCAACCAGTGGTACAAGTAGTGTTAGGGGTACTCAAGAGAAGTCGGGGGGAGTATAACAACTGAAATGTGGAGAAAACTGAATTTTTCTTTGAAGTTTTACAGTAAGCACTTGATCATTTTTGTACTTTTTACACCCCTCAAAAATTTCATCATCTACTCTGCTACAATTAAGTTGTTTAAACAAATGTGTTGCAATGGTAGAAAAAAAATTGTGTCTGAAAAATGTAGGTACTGGGGGTACTTATAATTTTTTTTTAAAGGGATACTTTATTTTTTTTTAAAAAGTTGAGAAACACTAGACTAGGGGATAGGGCATTTGCCTGGGGAGGGCAGGGCTTTGGGCTTGAGAATCACCCATCCACCCTGGGGAGTGACCCAACAGCTGCCCCAGGGATGGAGCAGCAGTGGTAAGGCAGACTTACTCCTGCTCTGGCCCTGAAGCAAGTGGCATGTACAGCAGTGGTTCTACATGCTGCCCCCCATCTAGAGGCCCCAACCCCACTGGCCTCAGTTCTCCATTATTGATCGGTGGGAGCTGCAAGAGCAGCATCCATAGACCAGGACAGCAATTGGGGACCCCCTGCTCTGACTCCCTCAGGGGCTGCAGGGACATGCCAGGCACTTCCAGGAGCATAATTATCACAGGGATAGTTACTCCAGATTTGACAGGTTTGGCATTTTAGAACGCATTGCTCAAAGAATTAAATTTAAGCGTAAGAGAAATGAAAGTTATGAAATGCACAGGTCAGTCAAAAACAAAAAATAAAACACTTTGCAAGTAGTAAAAGTAACAACTACCCCCATGTATGTGTTGGGTCAGGAGATGAGAGGGAAGGACAATGTGTGTTTGTGAGAATGACAGCAACACACAGTGTGTGTGAGTGACAGAGATTTGCACTGCCAAGCTCCCTCCATCCCCTTCTCCCTGTGTGGAGACAGGGTACAGGAGTGGGCGGAGGAGGGCACCCTGACATCAGCGTCCCCCCCCCCCCTACCCCCCCCACACACACACACACACACTGCACAGCAAGCAGGAGGCTCCCAAGGGGCAGCATGACAGTGGGTGGAGGGGCAACTCACTGATAGCTTCCCAGCCAAACCAGTCAGGATCCCCTGTCAAAGGCTCCAAGATCTACTGGCAGATCCCGATCTACTGGTTGGTGACCACTACTTTGATCTGAGCCTTTGATGAGGGACATTGTCAAAGGCTTTGGAAAAGTCCAAATATACTATATCCCCCCAGATCAATTTTGTCCACATGTTTGACCACATCCCCAAAGAATTCTAATAAATTGGTAAGGCATGATTTCTTTTTAGAAAAACCATGTTGATTTTTACTAACTATATCATGTTCATCTATGTGACTGATTAGTTTCAACAAGTTTGCCTGATACTGAAATTAGGCTTACTGGCCTGTACCTGTCAGTATCGCCTCTGGAACCGTATTTAAAAATCAACATCATGTTAGCTATCTGCCAGACATTTGGTTCAGAGGCTGGTTTAAGCACTAAGTTATATATATATAGCACAGTTAGTAGTTTCATATTTGAGTTCCTTCAGAACTTTTTAGTCCTGGTAACTCATTGCTGTCTAATTTATCAATTTGTTCCAAAACCACCTCTATTGATACTTCAGTCTGGGACAGTTCCCAAGATTTATCATCTAAAAAGGATGGTTTTGGGGTAGGAATCGCTTTCACATCCTCTGCAGTGAAGACTGATTCGGTTGATTAATTTAGCTTCTCCACAATGTCCTTGTCTTCCTTGAGTGCTCCTTTAGCACTTCAGTTCTCCAGTGGTCCCCCTGACTGGCAGGCATCCTGCTTCTGAGGTAGTTAAAACAAATTTGCTCTTAGTTTGTGTCTTTCACTAGTTGCTCTTCAAATTCATTTTTGGCCTGTCTAATTAAACTTTTATATGTGACTTGGTGGAATTTATGCTTCTTTTTATCTTCCTCATTTGGATTTGACTTCGAATTTTTAAAGTTCTTTTTGTCTTTGATCCCTCATGTTCTGTTATTTAGCCATGGTGGAATTTTGGTTTGTTGTCTTACTGATTTTTTTTTTTTAAATTTGTGGTACACATTTAATTTGACCCTCTTACTATGTTGTTTTGAAATATTTCCATGAAGTTTGCAGACATTTCTCTTTTGGGATTATTCCTTTTCATTTCCATTTAACTAGCTTCCTCATTTTTGTGTGGTTTCCTTTTGTGAAGTTAAATGCTGCTATGATGGGTTTCTTTGATATTTTCCCCCTACTAGAATGGTAAATTGTAATTACATCCTGGTCACTATTGCTGAGTGGTTCACCTCTTGGACCAGATTCTGTGCATCATTTAGGACTATATAAAAATTACTTCTCCCCTTGTGGGTTCCAGGATTTGCTGCTCCAAGTAACAGTCAGATGTTGCCATGTGCTGCTTGATATAGGAATAAAAAAAATCTACCAAATTATAAATGATCACAGATGGGGCTCTGTTATGATCCACTGGATTTTTGCCACCTCTGAGTCTCACCAATGCCAACATTCAATGTCTGACCAACATGTGAAATTTTCCTTGTTGCTATGAAAATACAGGTTGTACTTCCAAAATCTGGGACTCTGGTCCAGCAACATCCATGGTCTGGCAGGGCCATGGATGCTTCTGGAGCAGAGAGCCCGGGGGCCTAAGGGCAGGAGGGCCAGTTAGGCAGGACATCAATGTTGGCAGCCCAGCTGAGGGTAGAGCGGGACTGGGGCCGGAGCCCTCCAGCAGCCCCCAGGAGTGCGGGGCCAGAGCCAGAGCCCCACAGCTGTCCCCAGCTGTGCGGTGCCTGTACTGGGGTTGCACAGGGCCAGGGTCAGAGCCCCAGCCCTGCAATTGCTTCCGGCTGCACAGGAGCGAAGCCCCACGGCAGGAGCTGGAACTTGTGCTACCCAGGGAGCCAGCAGTAGCTGGGCAAGCAGCCCAGCTAGGTTGGAGGGAATGGTGGGCAAGGCAGGATTGACTGCTGGGGTAGCCTGCCAGCAGCAGGTGATGGGCTTGGGGGCCGGTGTCAGGAGACCTCCCCTGGTCTGACAAATTCTCTTGTTTGAGACCAGTCAGGTCCCAATGATGCCGGACTGAAGAGGTCCAACTTGCACCAGATAAGTCCAACTCTAGCTTGAAAACTAAGTTCTTGAACGGGTCATAGAATGGAAATATAACAGCTTCTGCTGTCATGCATTTTGGTTTAAGAACATTGTGACATACTTTGTGATTGATTGCAATCAGGAGCATTAAGCATTTTGATAAAAGCAGTTATTGTTTCTATTAGTAATTGGGCCTTATCCAGAAAGGATGCAGAATTGTAATTGGTGATATAATAGTACTGTGAAAATTAAATCTCCAATTATTTGTCTCAGTTGATTGTCCTGAAATGATCCCCTGGGGCAAAGCATTTTTCTCATGTTGCAAAATATGAATTTCATATAAAATTGAAGTTAGTTTACAATTTGCAATTTCCAGCTTCCTGCTGGGAGATGCCACTGTGCTGAAAATCAGCGCTGTTCTGACACCAGGAATACAGTGGTTTCAGCCACTCTGAAATGCCCTTCTTAATCAACGTCAACTTCAAATATATCTTTAAATTGGTACATTTCTTCCAGCACTTTTCATGGCCTGACCTGTTAGGAAATTCATGGAAAACATGAACCACTCTCTTTCTCTACTGTAAAGAAAAACAAGCTTTTGGTACTACCCTCCAAAGGTTTCTGGGCTTTTCATTTTTGTACTTTGTTACTGAACATTTCTCTTCTTCTTCCCTTAGGGAATGGAGAAATGAGCAACAAGGAATTTGTTGCCATTATGAAACAGCGGCTTATGAGAGGCTTGGAGAAGCCCAAAGACATGGGATTTACACGACTCATGAGGGCAATGTGGAAATGCGCTCAGGAGACAGCTTGGGACTTTGCCATGCCCAAACAGTAACTGCAGCAAATGGAGAAACCTGGCTTACAACATGCTAATGGGACCATAAATCTACCTGTACTGCTTCTCCAGAACATACCATTATCAGATGTTCTGCACACAGAAATCTACTGAATGACAGTAGACCCATTGCTAAATTGAACTAGAAAAAATCACCCAGAAGACACAAACTGTTAACAGCTGGAGTTTTTCCAAACACTAGAACAGAAATCAGAGCCTGCTGTGTCTTCTGCTTTTATTTTTCCTTGGCTGTTGCCTCTTTAATATTAATCTCTCAGGAAAATTACAAGAATAATTAGTTCTGTGTATTGCAGCCTTTTGTCTCCATGGTATGCTCCAGTGTCCAACAAAACCAGGATTTTATGTAGTACTGAATACTGACAGCCTCAGATAACAATATTGTTTGGAACAGCCCTATATGTGAGATACCTCGTAGAAATCTACTACTACAGAAACACCTAGCAAATCCTAGTGCTCTGCTCCAGAATTATTTTTAGTTAAGAGTTTAAGCATTATTTACAAAATGTGTATTTAGAATGACCTTTTGAAAGCGAGCTGGGGTGTGTAGAAAACGGTATCAACCTTTGTTTATTATGGAAGCTGTCTAGAGAATTAAGAGCAAAGGGGTCCAGCAAGAGTGAAAAGAATTTCTACAGAAGCAAGTTCTGTGCACTTTGTTTTTCCTCGCTGGATTTCTTATCTTGCAGTCTTGAAATATTTATGCATGGTGAAGCAGGAGTCTGAGTTATTGCTGGGATATAAGGAGTTTAAAATAGCTTCATTTCCCCCTATTTTTCTTCTTCCTCAGAAAAATCCTGCCTTGCATAAGCAATCTAATATATATATAATCTTTGTAATTCTCTTTTTAATAAGGTTCTCCTCCCTCGTTCAGATTGGTCTTCTATATGGGGTAATGGCTTTAAAGCTGCTATTTACTGAATGCTTGAACATTGTAAAATATTTCTTTAATTACACTGGTTCACAACAAAAGCAAATGCTCATCTTTCTTCAGTTTATGGGAAGCCTCATGACTTTAAGTCACATTTGACTTTGTTGGCAGCAAATCAACAACAATTTTAATCTCTCTCTGCTGAAAATGAACTCCTACTAAATGTGAAAGTAGAAAATACAGAGCATCAGTTTTAGAGAAACCTGGAGTTTGGAATTCTGTTAATCGTTCATTCTCACTCTGGTAAATGTGCTTGTTATTTAGAAAGGTTTCATATGGTCAGAGTTTGTCAAAAAATCTAATGACAGAATGTACCTAAAGCAGGGGTGAGAAAACTCAAACCAGGAGGCCTGATGCGGCCCCTGCTTGCCTGGATGCAGCCTTCAAGGCTCAGACCGCCCCTCCCCCAGCATTGGGGAGCCCACATTGGCACTCCAGCCCTCACTCCCCCTGCTGCCCTCCTCACTCTCGCCCCCGCAGGGCTGATAGCACACAGAAACTACTAGGTTGGGCTCCCCTAGGCTCTGGTGTGAAAGAGAAGGATCTTTCTCCTCAGCTGGGGGCTACGTCAGTGACGGGGTTGTTTTGGGGTTTTTTTATTGTTTTGTTTTTGTTGGGTTTTTTTTTGGGGGGGGGAGTTGCTTCTTATTTGTGTGCAGCCCCAACTGATTTTTCTGTGGGTCAGAGGCCCCCGGCCCAAAAAAAAGTTTTCCCACCCCTGCCCTAAAGTATAGTGATTGGAAAGCTATTTCTCTCTTTCACCTCCACACTTGAACTTGAAGTCTGACAAATATTTAGCTCTCCCTAGCTGATCTAATAATATACTGCACAATAAACAAGTATGCATCCAAATGGGAAATAGCATTAATCCCAAGGAAATCAAGACAAATGTATTGTCCCATCAGGTTTGGGCACCAATACAACAGTACTCTACCAATCTCTTTGAGACTCCTCTGAGACACCTAATTTGAGCATTTCTCAAGCTACCCATGCAACTGCTTCCTTCATTTTTTTCTTACACCCATAAGTCTTCCTTACTGGCTTTACCTCTGGATGATGGGAAATAATTTTTCCTGGGACTGATGAAAACACATCATGAAAATGCTGTATTAGTTCTTGGGCTGCTTGTTCTGTTAAGGTTTGAAAGGAAACCATTTTATCCAATCCCAAAAGCCCTAGAATCTTAGGACCTAGAATTAGTGTTATCTTGTCTGGATTGACAAGGAAACTTTCCCACTCCCACCTTGCTACAACATGTTCACATGAAAGATATTTTTCTTTTTCTTTTGCTGAATGAGTCTTGGGTGCAAATAATTTAGCAACTTCGCATGTACAATTTCAGAGCTATCAAATAAAAAGATATCACTCCTGTGTCTGCCTGTAAACCATCAAACCCCAAGCACATTGCATGACTATTACTGTGCTCCTAATTCACTTAACAAATTTTAATTCTAGAACATCTATTTTCATGAGAGAGCACGTTCCATAGAGCTCAGGTGATCTGAAGAAGAGCTCTGTAGAGCTTGACAGCTTTTCTCTTTCACCAAAAGAAGTGGTACAACAGAAGATTTTACCTCACCCATCTTGTCTGATATCCTGAGACCAACAACACTGCAAAATCTGTTTTTGTGACCATTGTCTCAGCCTCACACTGTCTTCTACTGTGACAATGGTGATAGTCTTCAAATTCTTTTCATTTCCTTTTACTTTTTGTGTGTGTGTGTTTGGTTACTGAAAATCACCATCTCCTCAAGAGCTTCAGGAGGTAGTCGAGTTAGTCTGTTAGGGTATGTCTACACTACCCCGCTAGTTCGAACTAGCGGGGTAATGTAGGCATACCGCACTTGCAAACGAAACCCGGGATTTGAATTTCCCAGGCTTCATTTGCATAAGCGGGGCTCCGCCATTTTTAAATCCCCGCTCGTTCGAAC